CGTGAAATTAACAATACCCCGAGCATCTTAGAAAATGTCTTTAATTCTTTGAGGAACAGGTGTGAAAAGTGCTTGGAACAAGGAGGGGGACACTTTCAGCAGCTGCTTTAATTTATTGTTATAACAAGGAGGGGGACACTTTCCGCAGCTCCTTTAATTGTTTGTTATTGTTATCACGATTATTCTTTAAAATAAAGTTATATAGTCATTAACTTTATTGAAACTGACAGCTGCTATACAGCTCGTTGAGAAATGAGGTTAAGTTGGTCGCTATAAGCTACTCCCTACGTCCAATGTGTCAGAGCCAACTTCGACCACGTTTTTATTTGAACGCTCGTTATAATAGGAAGCAATGGTAAAACTGAGAACTGTACTCTTTTATTGTTACATAACAATATGACCCATTATAAGAACTAGGATATCCCTATATTTTTTTTTGGGACGCTTGACATACACGTCGATATTTTTTTTATAAATAGTAGCACTCTATACTCTGCGGTCGAAATTATAGAGAGTGACTCATCGCTAGCTTTTGGACTAGTAAGGGGGATGAAGCGTGTCGGGAACGAAAATCCATTGGCGTGTCTGCGTAAAAGGCAACAAGATATAGAAAATATTGAAAAAAGGTAATAAAACATAACATATAATATTTTTTTACGGTTTGCTATAACTGGCACTTTGATCCATTTTAATTATTACAGCATTTTAAAACGTCCCAGTTGTGATTTTTTAATTTATAAATTTATTATAGCAATGGAATTAGACCCCGCGTCTACGCTTATGTTATGACGTTTCTCCGGACGGCTAAATCAAGTCCGTTTACACCCACTAAAAAAGAATTTCCCTATTCCCTACCAAGTGCAAAAGACGGAGATAGAATATAGATCGACGTTCAGTGTAACTCAGTCTATAGACGATTATAGATTCTATCGATGTGTGTAGTGAGCGGCACAAAGATAAATAATATTGAACCGTTATAAAAATCATTTTATATTTTATGCGCATTATAGTAATAGTGTATTTATATTATGTCTTAGTCACTCTCTATAATTTAGACCGCGGAGTATAGATGTACTTATTGGATCAGTTATAATGACCCAATGCAGTAGGTAAATCCAAAGTTTATTAGCTGGGATTATTTTTGGCAGCGATTTTTCGGAAAATCATTTTAAGATAGGTATTAAAATAAATAAATAATCAATTATAAAAATGTTAGTAATTAGCAAATTTTTTCTATTCAAGCATTTCCAGTAACAAATACTGTACTACTAATAACCTTATTTAAATGATCTTTCTTTTTGAGATTAATTTGAAAAATTAACATGTATTATGCTGTCTTATTACCATATTTTGATCAGATTGAACAAGCCTAAAGTACTTTGATTCAAATCATATTATTGATCATCAAACAATATAACTAATGGAGTGTTGCTTATAAATAAATAAGGCAATGTAACATCCAAATATACGTCATTTTATTATATTAGTGGATATCGCTAGCCATTTGTTAAAACGTGTTTATTTATGTTGTGTTTTCTGTGTGTTCTGCGGTGTCCTAAATACGACGATACACGGATACACCTATCCCCTGATACTTTCTTAATTTTCTACAGTAGGCTATGCAATACTTCCAAATTCTGTTACTCTTAATTCTTACGTATTGTCCTCTCAATCCATACTTATCACCGTTCGGTTTTCGCGTATTAATTAGAATTATAGCTGCTGTCTCTCCCAAAATTAGTTCCAGTAGATCGCTGTGCATTCGCGACCTGATCGTACGTCGTACGCATAGTCGAGAATGCCATTATAAAAACATTTTATAAAGTGAATCTTAAATTGAATTTCTGCGCTACCCCTTTGTTTACCTCATCCGTTCCCGTAGCTACATTTAACCGACAGAATCTATGAGTTAGTCCGTGTTATTTTATTCATCGGTTTGATCCATGTAATATTACTGGTCTGTTATATAAGATTTCTAATTTCTGACTGGCCCTACAGAATCCATCGCATCAAAATGATAAATGATGAATAAAAGAATACGGCCTAACTCATCAATTCTATCTGCTGAAAGTAGCCAATAGAATAGATTTGCGATGACAACGTCATATGCAACACAATAGTCACAGAGGGCAAAATACTCCTAGTTTTTCTGCTGTTTTTACTAATCTGAGTTTTCTAGTCGTGAAAGATCCATTCAAATATATTATTTTACTACCAAGAGATTAGTGGCAGCCTGATTTTTCGTAGTAGTTTCAGCTTGCCTGAAACCTAATAAAGCAGCCCATCTATTTCTATCGAATTTACGTTTGTACTTTCTAACTCACCTTTAGGCATCTTGAATTTTATAGACTATTCAAAGTTATGTTACAATTCTTTAGTTTTCTCCAACATTTATCAACTTCTTTCAGAATTAATATTTCTTCAAATTTGCATTAACATATTGTGATGATCAGTCATTAGTTCTAATAACCATTAATTCTTAATTTTTCGTCCCTCCGAGAAACGAAAAGAGTGACCGCAAAAAATATGTGATTTTCGCCCGTTTTTTCACAATTCGCAGATAATAAAAAAAATACATAAACATATGTTTTTGGTCGCAAATTACTTGCCGTAAAAACTGAAAGCATTTAGTATTTTGAAAATTTTAAAAATCACCCCTACCTAGTGGTTGAAAAATGAGGAATATGAATATTACCAACTGATATAAAAACTATTAGCATGTGAATTATTCTGGAATTTTTACAATTATTTCTGATATTCTCTATTTTTGGGGATGATTCCACCCCCTGAGCGCGCTTAAGGGTGGATTTTCTAATTTAATAATATGCTTATTTCAGTCATGAGAATAAATCTATCTTTGTATCAAGAATCAATCGATAGAAAAATGCACATGCTAATCGTTTTTATATTTATTGGTAATATTCAATTCTTCATTTTGGGCGTCTTTTCAACCCCTAAATAGGAGTGATTTTTGAAAATTTTCAAAAAACGAAAAGCTATGCTCATCTTAATTTTTTACGAGGAGTAATTTGAGACCAAAAACATAGTTTTATTTATTTTCTTTATTTCTCTGCGAATTGTGAAAAACGGGCGATTTTTGCGATCACTCTATAGCTTGTTGCTCGTTATAGTGTACGCTTCTTCTCACCTACGGTTCTGATATTTTACGTTCCAGTATAACCGGCTACTTTTTGTTGAGCAACGTGAAACGCCTTCAAACAAAATATCGTTACCAAATATCATTATACCAGTACACATCCGTCACCTAACCTAATCTAACCTAACCTACAACAACTTTCATGTCTTTGTTCTAAATACATTCAAATGTCATATTATGAAAATAAAGCGTGGTACCCATAACGTTTTTTAGGGGATTATTTCTATGCTTATAAACTTTGATGATGAAAAAAATTTGAACTTAATTTGCAAAATAGAACATTAAAATAGGGGTTGCTGACCCCCTGACATATCGAAAAGAGTTGCATATATTTGTGCAAAATATTTTTTATCACACGAGATACAGACTGCTGTTTTTCCATTTTTGACAAAATTACATTTTCTTTGTGGTTTACATCTATTTAAATTTTATTTTCGTACTGACATTCTATTTTAGGAACTTAGTAATGCTGCAACAGTATAAAAAATTAAAATTATGAGAAAAATATAAAAACGTCTGTTGATTGCGAGAAAAATAATTTTTTTATCAACCCCTAACTTAATTTTTTATTTCGCAAATTTTTCCATCATGAAAGTGCTCTTTGTGGATTTTAGCTTTCAATTCTTATTAAACATAGGCATAGTAATACAGACCCTTCATAAATGATTACAGACCACGTGACCAGTAACCAGTTAAATTAAAACAATAAGATCAAGGTTACATTAAAACAAAACTTTCTGTTTCTCCGGCTGTGATTGGTGTAATTTTTCACGATATTCTACAGTAGAAACAATCAATCAGCAATAGCATTATCTCGAGCGTATAGACGTAACGGTTTGTCATTGCTCATTGTAAATCATTAATATTGTTGATGCCAAGATTTAGTGAATTTTAGAAGGAGAGGGTCTGTCTAATAATTGTTGACATTGCCCACAGGGATAGCATCGTCTATAAAATAATGATAATACCTGAGTAGGTATTATCATTATAGTTTGAGTAAACTATGCTGATTCTGAAAATTTGATGTATTAAATTTAAACAAATAATTTTCAAGATACACAAGTTTTAAAACAATCAAAAGAATTTCATGTTTCGAAATGCATAGACTTTATGTATGTACTCATATGAAAAGAAACACGGTGTTTAAATCAATTTTTAGGTAGTACAAACTAAATCAATTTAAGAATCTTTGAAAGTTAACTAACCTTCTCATATATTTTTGTTATTTGAGTTTCATATTCTTTAGTCATCTTCTTGTTTTGTCGAGTCCTGCCTTTTAGCCACATAATATAATTTTTCATATCTGTATCACCCATCATATTAGGAACTTCAGGCTTTTGTATCGCCACATCTTCTAAATCTATCAAACTGAATGAATCGTCGAAAGGTGACTGTTTTATTTCCTCATTTATCAAATTTGACAAATCTTTAGCTATAATAAACGCAATAGCTAATAGTAGCTCTCTGCTTCCCGAAGAAAAGTCCCCAGGAAGAATATAGAATAGTGTGGAAGAATAATTTAATGATTTCATGTGGTCTTTTATCTCTTCTACTTTAGTCTGACTCTGTTTGGTTGTAAGCAGATTTAGGGTGGACCATAAAACAGGAATCTACAAGTAAAATGTTGGCAATAACTTTACATAACCACACATTTTAAACCCAAACATTAGGCAGAATGTTAGAATTTGATTTATAAAACGAGATACTTTACCACATTGTCTTCGTTTTTGTCAAATTTTGCTAACCTGAAGTACTCTGGTATAAGATTCACATTAAGAATTATATTTAACTGCTTACAAAGCAAACCAATAACAGATTTGATTTCGACGGACATCTAAGAAAGTACCTTGATCTGCAATTTCAGTTCTACTTGACTGACTTCTAGTAAATAGGTATATCTGAAGCTCTGAAGGAATCTGTATAAATAAATAAGAGAGTATAGTATAATATCTAAATGTGTGCTAGCACTGCTAGCTACTTTAGTAATCTTTTAAAAAAGTCTAGTACTTTAAAAATGTAATGTAAATGGTATTTTAATGAAAGTAAAAATGTAAGTTCTCACTAAACTGGGCATCGTCTAAACAAGAAATTATTTTTAAATGACAGACCAGCAAGATCTGATCAGCAATCAATATAACTTTGAAGTGGTGCTTAGAAATAAATAAGACAATGTAACATCCAAATATACGCCATTTTATTATAGCTCTAACAAAAATCCAAAAGTATAATACAAAATGCTATTTACTACTTACAATATTTTATACACAACAAATATATATGTAACAACTAATTTAAATAATATCAGTAATGCGTATTCTATTTACTGTATTGCTATTTATTTAATTACAAGTGTATTTGGAAAGGTTCTTGACAGGCAGAGTGGAAAGGGATTGATGTATGCAGTTCAGTGACATACAGGGTGAGATAATCTTAAAAAATACATTAACTCATTTTTAGTTATATTTTCCCTCCGAAATCAATATACTGATAAAAAAATTGAACTTTTCTGGCTGGGTAGACCAACCACCCCGTGTACGACTTAAGAAAATCAGGCATGAATAAAAACGTATAAATTCTCGAAGCAAATTATATAAGTTTTGTTTTTTATAAAATGAGAAGTAAGGAAATCATATATTCTAGGTAACTAATCTCTTCAATCTTTTAAGGCAGATAAGCTGAGATTTCATTAAGTTTTTAGATATGATATAAAAAGTATAGTATAGCAATGTATTCGCAATTTGCCGAATGTAAAAAAATACAGTAGGTATAAAAATATCATCCAAAATATCGTCATTCCATAAAGAAAATTGTCCATTATTGATCTGTGTTCGTTAAAACAGTATTTTTGATACATATACAATAAAAATTACTGTTAAGTGTTGTAAATTTAGATTGTTTAATTCGGCAAGAGGCAGTGTGTACATTTATCTTATTCTGCCATAAATGAGATACTTATATAATCCTTTCAATAAATTTACCAATAACAATAACTTCAAAATAACAGCACTTTAGGTGGGGTATATATCCTACCTAATCAAAAAACTATGGTTCAATTTGTTCCATAGCTGATAAATCTAATTTTATTTGATATGATATGATATTATACGTTACAAAAAACAGTCTCTTTTTCAATTCCAGACATTCGATTAACTGTTTGACAGTCACTGGTTATTACATTACAACCGCTCCACGTGCAAATTCTTTAACCTTCTAACCAATCTAACCTATAAGATTCTAGAGTTATTGTTTGTAGCTTTCTTGGTAAATCTTTGTATAACTTTAAGCGTCTTTTTACAAGTTTGTAAAATAAAGAAAACCATGCAATTGACTCACCTCTCTAATATTCTTCACCAGGTAAAAAAATATTTTGTTTGTCAGCTCTTCATATTGATTGAACACGAACTACATGACAGTTCAGTGCATTTCAGCAGTATTAAACATTTTATTCATGCCTGTTTTCGTTTTGTATTAATGCAAAATTGTTTTCAGTGAACAATATATGCTATCAAGACTAATCAGTTTCATTATATCAAAATAAAGAATATTGCTGAATTATAAGAAAAAATATTCCATAAAATTTAGATCAAAAAGCTCCATTTTCTCCAAATTCAATTAATGTAGATATTTAAAAATGTTAACTGATTATACTGATTTAAAAAATTAGTTGTTCTGTTTGCTATCTTTATATTATATGTCTTGCAATAATTAATTTATCTTTCAAATTTAAGATAACAGTATAGTTCTATTAAGTGTTTGTTGAAAATAGAGCTTTCTGTGAGGTAACACATAAATTGGAATGTCTGAACTCGTAGTAAAATTCTCTTTAATTTCTATATATGACCTGCAATGATTCTTCAGTGCTTATATAATTTATAAAAAATGATTTTGCAAATCAGTGAATAATTAAGATTTTTTATTTCTTAAAAATACAACAATATTTATGAAATTTTATGAATACACCTGCCTATGAAATTATTTTTATGAGACTATACAGCGTATTACTAAATTCCATGGACAAACCTATACAGGCGAATATTTGAGGAAAAAATAGAAAAAAAAAGATATGAACTTAGCAAATGCATGTTTCTTACAGGGTACCTAATAAAATAATGTTATATAGTTAATGAATAAAAGATAGGTCATCTTTTGTTAAAAAAAAAATCATCGTAATAAAAAAAATTGAACTGAACTGAAGACTATTTTGTACATTCTGTAGGTCTTAAAAAAATGTTGAATGTCCTATAAATACAGGGTGACATGGTAAAAATGCAATGCATAGCACCACATGATAGAGTAGCTCAAAACATAAAATTTCATATACACTTATGTCTAAATTTCATTTGTTTTCGAAATACAGTGTTAAAGAAATTTTGGAAAATATTGTTTTTTTTATTACTTCCGATTAAGTGGAGGGAATGTACAGAAAATTGGTAGGTAATATCCTCTACGGGCTGCCAACCAGTGGCGGAGTTAGAGGGTTCATTATGCTTAAGTCAAATTAATAAATTAATACGACCTTCTAAAAATTACCGTTCCTCTCAATTTTTGTGTCATATTAGGCAAGATTTCCCTACAAAAAAATTCCATTTGACATAAAATTCATGTTCATGTTCCTCAAAAAAGAAATGAATGCGATAAAATATGGTAATCAATAACTTATAATCAATTAGAGACAATCGGTTATAATAAAAATAATAAAAGGTAAAAGAAAAAATGTATTATTTCTTCAAAGAAGTTGTTCAAAATGGCGGCCTCTTTCTTGAATACACATTCCCAATCATGCAAGGCACTTTTTTCCATGTCACCTTGTATATATTTAAATAAGTGAGAATAACTGAAAAAATAATAAAACTGTATCACTTTGTATGTAAGAAACAGATTTAAGTTATTGTGAACTTTTTCCTTGCTTTTAACCACCCGTGGAATTTTGTCTGTGGAATATTACAACATTCTGTAAGAGGTCATTGTTCTTTTTAATCAAACATTTGGCAATCATGTAAAGATTCTTTAGTTATACCTGGAAAGTGACGAAGTCGGGATGGAAAAACATCTTATTGTCAATTTCATTTATCAGAAACAGTTTTCGTTTTCATTTAAGTTAAGTACATGCCTATAGAGAAGGAATATTAACGTAACACTGCACATGTTTAACAAATGTTTGATACTCGACCAAATATTTAATATAGGTACCTAAATACAGTGTCTTTGATATTATTAGTATACTTTGGTGAAGTCATGTTTCTCATAGTAAGAGCTGGGCGAGTACCATGCTAAAATACTCATGAATACTTCACCGCGAGTACCATTAACAAGGAAACACAAGTGACTGAGTACGAGTACTCCACAGTAGTGCAACTCAACAATTGGATTAGGTAGAATAAGGTCTGTTTTCCTCTGGTCCCACCCTGTTTAGTATTTAAATGGCCGATTTTCATCGGAGTAGTTGGAAATGGTAACAATTTTCAAAGTCACTGTATTTAGATCCAACGCAGATATTTATAAAATTCAATTTCCATATATTAGCAATAAATAAGATAACTGTAAAAATATTCCTACATGATGAAATAGACCGGAAATAAAACGAGAACTTTGTACACGAAAGAAACGTACGCAACAATGAGCATAATAATTTCTGATTATTACTTACATTAATTATTTTTCATTTAAATTCAACACTGGTAAAAGGGTCGTCCCGGCTTCACCGAGACACAATGAAGATATCACTTTCTTATTAACAGTTAATTATTCTAAACGCGACCGACTTCGTCCAAAAATATTCTCGATATTGGCTCGGAGTTCCACCATGTAACGAAAGACAAACAGACGCACTTTACACGTACCACTCTTTTATATCCTTGTTGTCGCGCTTTTTCGATTTCTGCAAATCAGTCTTACCACCGTTTCTCAGAGCACCGTTCAGTTGGTACTGAGTCTGTCCATTGGTGGTGGAGGTGTTACCCAAAAGGGCAGCGTTAGGGCCTTGTTGGAATCCTTTGCTGTCATCGACTTTGAAGGAACGATCACCTCTGGATTTGAACTTCAGTATGACCAGGATGATGAGGATGACGGCTATCAGGGCTCCGGCAATGATTCCTATGATCAAAGCTATGATTTCCGATGTTTCCGAACTCACTCTTTCTGGAGGCCGTGGTCGAGAAGGTTTGTGGTCGCTGGGCGGGAAGTTATAATCTATAGGTGGCGGTGGAGGAGGAGCTCGATGTATCATGGTCGGTGTTACGGTATGGCGTTCTGTGGATGTTATGGCGGTATCTTCAGTTGTTGTGTAAGGAGTCGAAGTATCCCATTTGGTGGTATGTATTATATTTGTCGTGCCATCTTCTATAGAGCTGGTGGTCGAAACATTTGATGAAGTGGTTACTATGGTCAGATGTCCAGACAACGTGGAGCTCTCTTCCGTGGACTTAGTACTCACGTTTTCTGATGGAACTGTGTTTTCAGTCACATCTATGAATTTAATCAATAAGTGATAACATATCAGGACTCTATCGTGGGTACACGAAAAATTCTCGGAAATTTTGCAAGTACTGTGACACTTTACGAAACGATTAACAACTTTTATTAAAGTGCTATTAATAACAATAAATAAAAAAAATAGCAGCAGATGTTCAAAATTGTTGAATTCAGTATCAATTAAACTTCGCAAGCGTTTTGGAAAATAATTTGGACACTGTTCCGCAATAATTTCATTCTAGGCGTAGTTCGCCATCTTCGTTATTGTTTAACGGTGCTTACGGATAGTGCACCATTTCAGTAATGAATACTCGTTGTGGTCTATTTTGGAGCAAAGGATCTTACGCAGATGACAAAGCACTGTAAATGGTTGAATGCGGGTATTAACACAAACAAGACTTTTCGAATAAAACTACAATGACCATTGTTGATGATGATTTGTGGTATTGTTTACAAATGCTGACTGAACTGGCCACCGATAATGCAGTTAGACTGTGTTGGGTGTCAGGGCACAAAGGCAATTGTGGGCAGGAGAAAGCGGATGAATTTGCTAGGAAGGATTTTAGACATAGTTCATTGGTCCGGAGCCCTTCTGTGGTACATCTCATAGTGTGGTCGGGCGGGCTCTGAGCAAATGACAGACAGACAGAACATAGGAAATACTGGACTTCAAGGTCAGGACATAGTCATTCTAAGGAGCTCGTGGAGTATCCTTCCATGAAAAGGGCAAACAATTTACTGAGGTTGAATAAAATCCAGCTCAGGAGAGTGACGGGACTCATAACGGGATACTGTCACTTTAAGAAACATCTACATAAGCTAAAGCTTGTAGACAGTCAGGTCTGCCAAGGCGGATGAGACTTCTCTGCATATCCTAGGCGAGTGCCCGGGATTCGCACGTAGTAGAATGACGCTCCTGGGGAGACCCTATTTGGAACCCAAGGAATTGAGAGAAGTGTTTGCAAGGAAGCTTTTGGACTTTGTTAAAAGGACAAAACTATTTGCTGAATAGGGCTAGTAGAAGAAGGAAGTAGTAGAAGGAAGAAGAAGAAGGAAAGGATCTTGCGTAGATGATACAGCACTGTAAATAGTTGAAAACGGATATTAACACCAACAAGACTTTTCGAATGAAACTACAATGACCATTGTTGACGACAACTTTGAACAATTGTTTTAATGTTTTAAATTTATAACCATAACAATTTAGCAAAAGTTGTTAATAGTTCAGTGCATGTTACTCTATTTACTTCCTTAGAGTCTTGTGCTTTCAGTAATTGTAAAAATTCCTAGAACTTTTCTTGCAAGTGAATGTATTTTCTTACCTGTTGATTTGGTGGACTCTTCCGTAACTTCTCCAGATCCAGATCCATCTATATTGCAATCCTCATCATCGCAAAGCTTCTCAATGTTACTATTTTTGGGTGTTTTGGCTGTGGGAGGTGGTCTAGTAGGAGGAACGTACACTGGAGTTATGAGGTCATCGTCACCTGATCCAGTCTCAGGTAGTGGAGGACACTCGTCCTCGTCATCTCCATTACACCCGGAACCTGCCCCGCTAAATACTAGGTCGTCTTCGACGCCCGGAAATCCTGAAGCTGGAGTCTGGAAGACGTAGAAGTTAAAATATCAAAGAGAAAAAGAAGAGTAAAGAAAACTTAAAGAGATACAGTTAAGCGAATAAGTAGAAAGATTGGAGGAATGCCAGATATTCTAGAAGACAATTTTAACTAATACATTTTCAGCTCAATTTCCACAATATGCCTGTTTCACGCAAACAGATTGTTACTGCTAACCTGTTGCATCTTTTGAAGGTGATCCTGCCTATCTAGAATTCCAGAGATCAATTGCACATCTCCCCGAATAGATGCATGAACATCTTTCTCTGCTGCTAAATCTAGGATTCGCAGTCCATTGACTACCACTCCCGATATGATTCCGGAGAACGGTCTCTCTATTCTTCCTTTCTTGCTCCATTTTCCACCTATCTGAATCTGCGACTGGCTATTGAATACTTGCAGCTGGTGACCTATAATTAAAGAATCACTTTCATAATAACATTGCGAACATTTTTAATCAAACACATCTCCAAAAATAAGCGTACTTATAACTTTATATGATAGAACGTTGTTGAATTTTTCATTACAGCTATAAATGTAGATGTTTAGGATGTCATATGATAGTTCTGGAACTGCCCTAACAGCACGTTATACCTATTTTAAGTATATTTTTAAATGAAGCTTTACAATAATTTAAATGTTTCATTTTTATTAAAAAAATAATATTGAAAACATATTGCAAAATGTTTTTAAATTATTTCTGAAATGTGAAAACAAATTTTTTATTTAATCTTTTATGCATGACTAATGAAACGTTTTAAAAATATCGAACAAAAAAGTATTAGTCTAGTTAAATAAATTAAAGGATAAAATAAAACAAATATACAGGGTGCCGAAAATTAGTAGGTCAATCCGTTAACCATAGATAGCTGATATGAAAATAATGGGACTTTCATTATGCCACTTTTCATTTAGGAGCCCCATTTTTGAAATACAGGGTGTCAAAATGTAAATTTCAAAAACGAAATTTGTCGATAACTCCGGTAGAATTAGAGATATTTGTTTGAAATTTCGCTAATATTTTTTTCTTGTAGAGACACACTTTCAGTATACTTTTGGTAAAAAAAATCAAAGCACGAGCGGAGGTGAGGGGGTTAAAGTGCATTATGACCCCCCCAACTTTTTCATACGCACGCCTATGGTAAAAACATATATTTTCTTAGATAAAGCGGCTTTTATTCTAACTTTTCTTATTCTTGCAAGATTTTGATTTGGAGCCTGGGTTACCAGATATTGTAACTTATTTGGACGGATAGTATGGATTTGGTAACTAGTGTATCCAAAATTAATTTTAATTCGATGTTATTGGGCTATATTCCGAGAGGAAAACACATTACTTTCTTATTTTATAAAAAGTAATGATTGTTCTTGTGCTGTTACAAGAGAAATAAGACGAAAAAATCAATGTTTTGGTAACGGTATTGATAATGAGTGTGGTATAATTTCTTCTTTTTTTCTTTCTTTTGTATACATAAAAAAGTATTTTTTATATCCTATACGGTCCTGTTTTTATTTTTTTATAGTACATCAAATAAAAAAGTTAAAGGGGTGGGACATTATAAATGATCGCCTGGTACAATTCGTTTAAACAATGAAGCATGCCACAAGAAAAATATTCTTAAATATTTCCAACTAATTTTTTAAGGTAAATTTGCAATAGACTTTCAGTACTTAAAAAATGTTTTAATTGTCTAATTTTACGTTTCAAGTAATAAGTTCTATGTAGGCTTTGAAAACAAAGTCAGATAGTTAGGTACATTTGGTTGTCAAAATAATTTATAAGTTAAATAGAAAAAACGTTGTTTAGACATTTTTTAATTGAAGTGTTCAATAAGAAATGGCGAACAGAGAAGGTTTGCTATCATTTTCTGAAATGACCGATATGATTTTAATAATGGGTAAGTACTTATTAAAAGGAATAGGATTTTTTCTTAATAAGTGTTAATTGTAATCTCGAACCTAAACAATTTAATTTCTCTTGCTTTTAGGAAAATGTAACTCTAATGCTAGTTTAGCTGCTAGGCGTTATGCGGACAAATTTCCAACCAGGCACCATCCAAAAAGGAGATTTTTCTTAAGCTTAGTCAACCGTCTGAGAGAATCTGGCAACTTTAAGCATAGGAGGATGGGCCAATGTGGACGGCAACTCAAATTACGTCCAAACGAAGAGGAGCAAATCTTGCAAATTGTCGAAGAAACTCCGAGTATAAGTACGAGGATACTAGCTAATCAAATTAATAATGGTGGCAACAATAATATTAAGTCAGATGATGTGCGACGTGTCTTCAAACAGCAATTACTGTACCCATATCATGTACAAAAAGTGCAGGCACTTCTACCTTTAGATTCAGAAGCAAGAGTCACTTTCTGTAATTGGATATGCCAAGAAAATAATGATAATATTAATTTTAGTAAATTTATTTTATTTTCCGATGAGGCCACGTTTACTCGTAACGGAGTAACGAATATTCATAATACTCATACATGGGCTGCTGAAAATCCGAAATTCATTGTAGAGGCACATCATCAAGTAAGTTTTAAAGTAAACGTATGGGCAGGAATAATTGATAATTTTCTTTTGGGACCGTTTTTTTTACCCCCCCGTTTGAATGCCGACGAATTTTTGCATTTTCTGCAAACCTCTTTTGCAGACTTACTTGATGATTTGCCTTTAGCGGTTCGGCAAAATATGTGGTTTCAACTAGATGGGGCTCCGCCACATTATGGCCGAATTGTTCAGAACCATTTAAACCAAATCTTTCCTAACCGCTGGATCGGCCGGGGACGTCTTGCGCCAGTCAAATGGCCACCTCGATCCCCAGACCTTAATCCCTTAGACTTCTGTTTCTGGGGGTTTATGAAAGATTTTGTTTACATGGTTCCAATTGTGGATGAACAACATTTAAGATTAAGAATTTTAGAAGGGGCCGAGCAATTTAGGGTGAAACCACATATTTTTCATAATATTCGTTTCTCCTTTATAAAGAGATGCAGGATGTGCGTCCGCGAAGGTGGTTTTCATGTTGAACATTTAATATAATTTTTCGAATTCAATTTCTGTTTGTAATATAAAATATATGCAATTTGTTTCATGTTGTTAAATGTTAAATAAAATTTATAGTACAACACGGATTTTAAACTTTATTAAAATAAGTTACAATATCTGGTAACCCAGGCTCCAAATCAAAATCTTGCAAGAATAAGAAAAGTTAGAATAAAAGCCGCTTTATCTAAAAAAATATAATGTTTTTACCATAGGCGTGCGTATGAAAAAGTTGGTGGGGTCATATTGCTCTTTAACCCCCTCACCTCCGCTCGTGCTTTGATTTTTTTTACCAAAAGTATACTGAAAATGTGTTTCTAAGTGTGCAGTGCACAAGAAAAAAATATTAACGAAATTTCAAACTAATATCTCTAATTCCACCGGAGTGATCGACAAATTTCGTTTTTGAAATTTACATTTTGACACCCTGTATTTCAAAAATGGGTCTCCTAAATGAAAAGTGGCATAATGAAATTCCCATTATTTTCATATCAGCTATCTATGGTTAACGGATTGACCTACTAATTTTCGGCACCCTGTATATCAAATACTTTAAATAGATGAATAATACGTAAAGTTTTTAGGTGTTAAAGATCAGCAATTACAACATGTTAGGTTTCAAGCTCAGTTTCAAGATTCTGCGGATTGTGCGAGTTGTACAGTAGTAAGTTGTTACAATAACATTTTGCTCTATGGGTAGAAAGTATTCAAAATGTGTTGTGCTTGTATGGAAATAATGAAGTATGGTTTAATGCAGCTAATTAGATAAATCTTTGTTAATTGACTTTTAATAAGGAGTGTTTTAAACGTCATACGTAAGGTATTCTCACAAGAATTTCATATAGAAAAAAAGTATAAAAGATCTTTGCCATATAATTAAAATTTTTAAGAAACCAAACTGAAACAAAGAAACAATTTTTCTGTACTGATGTTATGTATTTAAGTTGAGGATTACCAAAAATGTATGTAGTTGTGATTTACATGTGTGGATTCAGTTAAATATATAGGCTGGTGGGTCAGGGATTTCATTGATGTTCCTCCGATTTGGAGTATTGAATATACATATTTTGATAACCTAAGACCAGTTCGATAACCTTAACTTCAATCATGTTAAATATCAATACAAACACAAAATGGTTTTCACATTAAAAATAAAATAATTACATGTTATCACTATGATGTGCAGTGCACAAAAAAAAAATTAACTTATTTAATTTGAAATTTACTACAGAATCTATTTCATTAATAATATTAAAAATTGTAATCCTCTGGGATATGTGGCAAACGTAAATTGCAAAATATTTGGGCTCAAATAAAAAAAAAGGTACCTAAACGATTAGTTATACGTTATACATAAAAATTTTTGGGAAACAAATTTTAAATGATATTTATGGACGGACTCAGTTTCTTTAAAAATAAATGTACGTTACTAAGGATGACATGCACGACGTCATATTTTTTTAGTTATTCTTAACAAAGCTGGGGTAAACATTCTAATATGTGCTTTATATAATTATTCATTTATATTTGTCTATTACACATATCAAATCAAGCATATCTACAAAAAAATATTCCTTGTGTGGTTTGATATTTACCTGTAGGGTGATTATAGCGAACGTTATAATCATCAACCTGTAAAGACGAATTATGACCCTGCCGATGGAACTTGACCACATGGTAGGCATTATCGTTGACTTTAACAGAAATCTCTCCCAGAGGGTGATCATTAGTGCCCAAGTTGTATACGACGAAAACGTTTCCTTCCAACTATAAAACAAAATTAATTAAAATCATGTAATATAGTCAAAGGGTTTAAGTGTTTTTTCACTTTCTCCCTCTTACTTTTCTTTTAGAAGATAGAAAAACACTTAGATAGGTCGATTTTATATTTGATCTAAAAATTCTCTACGTAAATTTTTGTAAATAGCATTAGAAAAAAATTAGTTATGAGGAAATTTTATCTTTAATAACGAATTCCTTAAATTATAAAAAATTACTACCAGGCAGGTACTGATTATAATCAGATCTCAACTTCTTATAATGAGATTAAAATAGTACGTACGTAGGTAATACTATCCATTAACTAACAGTTATTAACTAACAAACATATAAAGTGTATTCATTTAGTGGCTACTTGTATGAGAGCCTACTTTTGGTCAGATAATGAGATTGAAAAAGACATAATTTAAAATTAGTGACATGCTGTAAAATAATATAACACAGAAATATGTTTTTTATTAATGAAAACATCATGATTTTGCTTGTTCCACCTAGAGCCTCCTTAATCCTTCTTCTATTTTTTTGGTCACTAGCAACAACTGTTCACTCAATATTCTATTCACTCCATATTCTCCTTATTAAGAATTAGTTTTTTATAAAATTGTTGCTTCCTGTTTTATTTCCATATCGATACATATCTTTCTTATGTATATTTATAATATTTTTTAAATTATTTTTATATTTCATGTTTAGATTATCCTATGACCCTTTTCCATGATCTGTGTTACGAATTTTTGAACATTACAAACTGCTTTTACCATATTTTAATAACATTTTTTTAACTGGTTCTTAATGAACTTTTTTTTTACTAAAAATTTCAAAAATGTCATATTTCTAAAACTACGAAAGATAATTTTTGATGGTAAAAATGAAAAATATTAAATGGATAATACTGATATTAATTTAACCCGCGGTCGATAGCCGCACGGTTTAAGGCGTCAGTACTTGAATCGATATGTGCTATCTGCCCGGGTTTTGAATCCCGCGGCCGGTAAACCGTAGATTAGCTATGCTTGTACGGAGGATTGGCACCCTCTGTGCAGGTATGGTAGGGTGGAAGAATGTTGGCTTGGGTCAATGTGAGAGATTGACACCGGTTGGCATTTGACCACCCCCCTATTTAATGAGGTTTTCCAGGTTTCCCTCATTCCTGCACTGAATGGTGGTTAGGGCCTACCAACATAAGTCGTTCCTGGGC